GTCACAGCAGTGAATCGCGTGTTACTCCATCGCCAAGTGCCAAGCCAGATATGGCTGTTACCGTAGCCGCTTAAGCCCTCGGGTTGTGCACCGCGTGCTGAGAAAGAAGGGTGAGAAATCGATAAATGCACATAGCATTTAAACAGGTGGCACAGCAAGGATGAAGTTTATTTTATTTTATTTTTATTTTTTCCAAACGCATCATATTCGTGAGACCGTTTGTCTCTGACCAAATTCTTTTGCTGAACAAACCAGATATCTGGGGGTATTGTGTCCGCTCGCTCGCTAGCATATCATATTCACCAGAAACAAACGCCCATAACTTTCCGCCATGCTCCCTTGTTTGTTTTTGTCTCCGCTCCGCAAGTCCGAATACTGCAGATGAGAGAAGAAGAGAAAGGCACTCTGGAATCTACCAGCCAGAGAGTCTCCCGAGAACCGCTAGTCATTCATTTTGCGCTGAGCCAACGCCCGTCTATCGCGTCTCCTACCCCCCCAACCCCGCTGCGGCCGGCTCGCTGATGAATTATTCCCAATGGTCGATGTGAAATCCCGACCCGTGCTCTCTCTCTCTCTTTGGGTTCCCATATAACTCCGTCCATTTCCTTTAAGGAGATTTGTGATCATGAAAAAGGCAGTGCTGAAGGCAATTTGTACAAAATGTGTTTGCGTGTGTGTGTATGTGTGTGTGTATGTGTGTGCAATCAGTCGTCCCGAAGAGGCACTCAGTTGTGCCTGGAGGTGACACGGCGCCAGATGCTGCTGCCGCGCTCCTTGAGCGACTTGAGCGAGGAGACCTCCGAGGTCGCGGACTCGCCGCTGAGCACGGAAGAGGCGTCGGAGCCCTTGCGCATGACGTTGCCTGCGCCGCCGATGCCGACGTGGCCGGCGGCGGCGCGGTCGCGGACCTCCTGGCGCCTGAAGTCCTCGTCGAAGGTGCGGACGGCCTGCTCCTGCGCCGTGTGTCGGTTGCCGGCGCCGCCGATGCCCGAGTAGAAGCGGCGGGGCCCGCTGACGGCGGCTGGCTGGAGGGCCGTGGTGATGCCGGCGGCCGGGGTCGTCACGGGCGCCCGGAAGATGTTGCCTGCGCCGCCGCGGCCGGAGTAGATGTAGGTGTTTGGTGCCACGGTTGGGTGGGGCTCGGTGACGAGAATCTGGGAAGGCATTTTTGTGGTGTTGTGTGTTGATGGTCGAGGTTCAGGTGTAAGGCGGCGGTGATGTTGGTGGTGGTTATGGTGGAGGTGGGCGGGGTGTAAGTGATATATCGACCACAAGTGTCGTCTGAACTCGCAGATGTGACAGGTGTATCGGGAGTGCCTTGTGTGTCTTGGACGTGACAATGATGAGAAGGGGATCCTCGTGACCCAGAAGTGAGAGGAGGCCAAGGTTATTATAGGCAATGTCCTGGGGAGAGAGGCATAGGGTGTGTGTGAGTGGTGGTGTGGTGGAGAGGAGGTGTTAGTCTCGCCGATTATCCGTACATCGGAAGGCAACAAGACAGAAACAAACAGGCCTTTGCAGTGTCCTCCTGACATGCAAAGGGTTTGCTCACCCATGTCCCCCCCATGGCTGAATGACGGGCGTTGCACTCGCAAACCGGCGCGTAGGGAATGGAAGCCAGACCTTCCTCTTTACTCGAGGGACAAAGAGTACGTAGTCTACGTTCACACCAGTACGCAGGGCTTTATCACTTTTTTTCCCTGGTTCTTTTTAGCACTGGTTGAAACAAGAAGAGAGAGAGAGAGAGAAAGAAAAAAGGAAAATCCCTCCAGAAGCCCACTCTACCTAGGAAAAGTTTTTGGGCTTCTGGTGGCTCTCGAACGTGAAGGGGGGAAAAAACTGGAGGCGTAGCCAGATCTTGGTCGTGGAGAGGAAGAAGAAAAAAACTAGCATGGTCCCACGAGGCTCCGAAACGACGGGAGCGGAGCTAGGTAGCTTGGGCGCCGTCCCCATCTATGTAGGTAGGACCACGCACGCCACGTTAGCTTGGTTTACCGGGAGCTTGTGTGGTGGTGGAGGCGAGAAAGCGGTTTTTTTCTTTTTTGATTGTGTTCAGAGTCGTGATGATGTGATGCAGACAGTATTCTTTTTTTCTTTCCCTCTCTCTGTCCCTGCAGTATACAGGCATCTGAGGTGTGTGAGACAAGATCCATTGCGGAGGCATGCTGCATATGCTGTGCTGTCTGTCTGTCTGTCTGTCTGCCTGAGTACAAATTAATGGTGCTGTCATTATTGCTCCGAGTAAGTATGTATGTAGCTTGTGGTGTTACTGGACATAGCAAAGGTGCCCTTATCGGCAATAAGCAATGATGGCAAACTGAAGTTATAGTGCTACATTTTGTTTTTCTGATAAGAACAGCAGAAAAGCAACGACTCGGCCACCTCCAAGCGCCATTCAAAACCTGGGCAACAAACAGACATCTCTCTCTCACACACCTCGCTAACCTTCAACCACCCTTCTCACCATCATCGCCCGTCTTTTCATTTCTTTTCTTTCCCTTCCTTTCCTTTCCTTCATTCTCCTTTCCACACACACTGGTTTGTCCCTTGCCCCCCTGGTAGTCCGCGTGACACATCGGCCCTCCTCCAGGGGCGCCAACGAGGTTTTGCAATCACGCGGGCCTTTCCCACCATCCTTGGACAAACAAGAGCTGCTGAATTCGCGCCGCCTGGCAAGGCATGAGGGGGGAAAAGACGCCATCCTGGAGCAAACGATGGGGTAACGCTTTGCTAACCGATTGCCGCTTTCGTCCGTAGCGCCAGCCTTGAGGCGGCCTGGTACTGGGGGGTTCGGACAAGATGGGGCTAATGCAAGGAACGTGGAGCGTGCTGAAGGAACCGAACTGCAAAACAAACAAAAAAGAGAGAAAAAAAAGTGCTGTTCATTCCTTGGTAGGTACCTATGGTCAAGTCACTTTACCATGTAGGTTGCCTGTCACCTGTCTAGGCACCATGCTAACTGGCTGGCTGCTGGCAAGCAGACTTTTCCCTCGCCTACTAAGGTACCTAGGTACCTAGGTACAGGTATGTAAGTACTGCCTGCGGACCACTTGCGTGCTATAAGCCCCCCGTCCCTGCTACGAGTCTGTGACCAACAGCCTGGGCCCGGCCCCCCGACGACGTCAATAGTCCGGCTTCCACCGCCCCCGGAAGCGCCGACCACTCATCAGTTTTATGGGGGTAATGGAAATGTGCTTGCCGCGTCCACGATGGTCATCGGACCTCGAGCGCCCCATATCTGATGCCACGAATCCGTTGCAGGTTTGAGACCACGGCGCTCTCGCTCCCAAAGAAAAATTTGAAGGGGAAAAAAAAAAAAAAAAGACTGCCGCTTACACCATGACGAGTGAGGGAGGGGGGTGGGCAAACTTGCCCGTTTGCCAGCCGGCCGTTCGTCGGCTTGCGTCGCTTGACGACAGAACACCTGTCGCATCTCGCCATCTCTTCCAGCTCGGCCCAGGTACTTAGACACCCATTGTTCCGGGTATGCCCACCTGATCATCCATTGAGGCAGCAATGAGACACTGAGTGGCATATAAATTGCCGGGACAAGAGAATGATGCGGATGGCAGCAGCCAGCGACTCCAGCCGACTGTCTTCCTGACGTCCACCTGCATACCTACTTTCTTCGTCCATGGCCACAGCAACCGATGCAGAGGCGGCGCGGGCCGTGAAGCCATCGTGCGCATAGGTAGCTGTTGGAATAGAAAGAAGCACCTTCACCGCCGAAGACCCCCTTCGCTAGGCACCATCTCCTCCTCTCGAGAGTCAGTGCAATCCGAAGCACGTCCCCTTCCCGAAGGACCCCAGCCCGACTTACACACCTGAAGGAGACCGCCGCCTCCATCCACCTCGGAACTAGGTAGTCGTCTCTGGTTACGTACGACGATCCTGGAACCACTTCCCCAAACGCCCACTCCCCCCTCTACCCCGCATTCCGACCCCTTTTCTCGTAGGGAGGGTGACTTCCCCAGACTTTTAATGGTGCAATCCGATCACAAGGCCGGCCCAAGAGGGGAAGGAGAACGGAGAAGAGAGAAGAGAAGGGAGGGTGTCCTTTCATTAGGTAATTGGTGTGATGCCCCAGGGCTGAGCGCCCGCAGAAACGTGGTCGGCTCCGTCGTACCGGAACGTCTGTCCCAGCCCTCGCGAGGTTATGAGTGGCGTGGGTGTTTTTTTTGTTTTTTTTAATACAGATCTTGGTCGTTCCATCTTCGTGTTGTCATGGCATCGAGCACGGAAACCTTGCTTTGCGTGATGCAATTGGAGGAAGTGCTTCTTTCGGTCTCATAGTCGCCGCCGGCCATGCTTCCTACCATCAACATAGCATGGCGGCCAGGGATTCGGCAGCTTCGGCAGTTTCTTGGAACACGAGCTGCCGGGACGTCTCAAGGTATGTCTTGGCGATTTCTGTCACTGTGACCCAGGATGGGGGTTAAATGGTTGACTGAGGAATATAAGAAGCAGTGCCGCCCCTAGCGTTCTGTTTCTAGGTATGTATTCATACTTGCTCCAACAAGGTGACGATGCCAACTATGGCACTTTGTCAACAACGGCATTTGTATGAGATCAAATACGCCCAATCTTTCGTAGCTCGGACGGTCTGGCAGGTCGACCGTATATCCTCCTACCTTGGTATTCGAGTGGTTGACATGCCGAGACAATACCGAGGAACACTTCTTGCAGCCGCATTACCTAGGCGTGGAAGCCACCGAACAGTAACTAGCATGAATTATAACGCGTGCAGAAGAACCCTGTTTACTTAGCTTACACCAAATCATTATCGCGGGCTGTATCGAGCAAAGGCTGCGTATCCTTGCATTTATACTATGAGACGGCATAAGAGATAGGTAGGCACAGTGGAGTCCCCGCCACGCAAGCTCCATCAACGGCCACACAACTGAGCGTGTCTGTATATTTGTCTGAACATGGCCCACTCAAGCCCAGGCTCTTTCACAAGAAACAAAAGAACGTCATGACGCGAGATTCGCAAAAGATAATGGACGATCAGGGGATTGAACCCTGGGCCTCCCGCATTCGTGATCAAGGCTACGATGCAAAGCGGGCGCTCTACCACTGAGCCAATCGCCCAGCTCTCGGACTCAGAATAATCCTAGTCGACGACGGTTCCGCGCGCTGGAGCAAACCATAGACCTGAGCGTTGCATTCAATGACTGTTCAGTTTACAGTGGCGACCGTGATACCTTCTTCGTAGGCTGTAATCAACTTGAAATGACCTCTGCTTGTCCATGATTCGCTGCTTCTACACTGTGCTTCAGAGCACACTCTTCTTCTCTTCCTTGTTTGCAGTGAAGTGAGGAGCATTCCCGGGACAGAGCGAGCCTGACACTTTCCGGGCCACGGCACAGAAAGATATCGAACGAATCGCGGATTCAAGTAGTGGTGTTATACTTCGAGAGACACATGCTTTTATACATATCCAGCAAGGTTTGGGCTGAGTTATAAATGAAAACCCCATGAGGCTTTTGGGGAATCCTCCGTAGCATGCAAAGTCGATATACGCAATCAAGCGTTGTCTCCAGCTGGCCAGGAATTAACGCAGCACGCCAGAGACCATAGCTCTCTGAGCTATGGCGAATGATACTGCAACGCATACAGATCAAGTCTTCTATAAAATCCGGCTTCCTATGACCGTCATCGCCTCGTCGATGCCTCGCTCGGGAGGTACTCTGGTTTCGAAATCCTGCTTGTCGTCTGTTTCGTACCGAAACCCGTGGTATACAAAGGTTTTGGGCAAATGACGGCCTCGACGCGTCTAATTCGCTGGCGAGGGAAGGCACTCGAAGTCTGACGGAACAGGATACGGTTCCTGACAAATGCGAGTCGAAAAGGCGTCTCAGATCTAGACGATACAGAGGCCAGAAACTTCCCTTCTACTCACTTGTACGTAGCTTCGGCCGCGGGACCACGGCACAATCTTCAAGCAACCGATGCTGCTGCCCGAAATAAACTTTCAGTCCCGCTTGTGATGACGAGGTTCTCTCCATCTGGTGTATCCTCATTTCTCTCGCACGGAAGTTCGTGTGTGATCGGTCTTCGGCTTACGGCCTGCCACCTCGGTCAGCTTGGCGAGGCTGCCCTTCTCCCTTTCCAAGCTGTGAGTTGTTCTTATTACACTGCGCTCTAGTAGGCCAATTAGCTTCTGCTACTAACGTTCTCTGTAATTTGCCTAGCTACGCTACGTCTACATGAGGAAAACAGCTCTAGCGTAGAGGGACTAATGGCCTCAAGATTATATGTACTGGGCCAGTCTGCTAACACCCAAGCAGGCCTCTAGTGACTCGAGTACTGTCGTCCCGTACTTTCTGCTGGACTAGGCAATCCAGTCTATTTAGTACCTACTTTACTGTTATGCGACACCCTGGTCAATTGCCTTTGCTGTTGTCTGTTAAGGATTTGTCTGTTTTACTATTTGATGTTTCTTTATAGTAAAGGACTTTGTTAGCCCTGAAGAGCTTCTTCTATTAGATGGCATTGGCACCCATGTCCTTCTTGTGCAGAGTCCTCTCCTCTGCCGGTCACGACCGCGTAGACAGCCACACACGTCTACATTGTCGGTAGAAAGACCGGCCTCCCCGGGATCATGGGGCCATCCCTTCTTGTCTTCTTCGCGACCTGACCGTCCCCGAGGGTGCGTCACCCCGAAGCGACCAGCTGGCCCTCGTTTCTGCCCTTGTCGGGCTTGGCCGAGACTGTAAGTCGTCACTCGCACGACTCACTCACATCCCCTGTTTTCCCGCTTTCAAATTACCTCTGATTGATCTTGACCACATCATAGAATACGCAAGTGACCAGACAAGATGAACGATCCGGAAAGACGTGGACCCGCTTCTCCAAGTAACCCTGCTCGACGACTTGTCGCTTGCGCTGCATATGAGGACTCGCTCACTTGGGAAGACTCTTGGTACTCGTACTTTTCATCAGCGGGCATCTACATCATGAGTTCATGAGGTCTGGAAAAGAGGGTGTTTTCATCCGTTTCTCTTCTTGCTTACACCCAAACTGCTCTGAAAGAGCCCCATGAACAAAAAGGCACTGCAGGATATATACAAACGTCAATTTTGATCGTCAAATCTCTCGCCTCCCCTTTTTTTATTTAAAAAAACCCCCCAAATCTTCTTGCAACCAAACAAACCCGTGAAAACCCAGGAAAGAGCACCAGACCCATGGACAGGTGTGCTCCTAAGCCTACTTCAAATCAGAGTTCCAATCACACCAACACAACCGTGGGGAGTCGTGTCTACGCCTGGCTGCGCTTGGCAAGCATGCTCAACGCACTACCCGCGAGGATGAAGCCTGCTTGGTCCTTGGTCACGGCGTGGTTGGTGGGGATCAGCACCTCGGAGCCGTCCTTCTTCTTGACGAGCAGCTGGACCTTGCCCTGACCGCCGTTCTGCAGCATCTCATACAGGCCGACGGTGCTGACCTCGTCGCAAGCCGCAATCTTGTCGTAGTCGGCCTCGTTCGCGAACGTCAGGGGCACGACACCCTGCTTCTTGAGGTTGGTCTCATGGATGCGCGCGAAAGACTTGGTCAGCACGATGCGCGCACCAAGGTACCGCGGCTGGAGGGCGGCGTGCTCGCGCGCGCTTCCCTCGCCGTAGTTGTGTTCGGCGACGACGAGCCACTCCTGGCCGCGCTCCTTCCACTTCTGGGCGAGCTCGGGGATCGTGTGTTTGGAGCCGTCGACGTCATAGGCGGCGTTGACCTCGCCCGTCTCCTTGTTCACAGCCGTGTTGAGGGTGTTGGTGCTGATGTTGGGCAGGTGGCCCTTGTACTTGAGCCAGGGGCCAGCGGCAGAGATGGTGTCGGTGGTGCACTTTCCGGTGACCTTGACAAGGACCTTGAGGCCGCTCAGGTCGCTCTCCGGGAAGGGCGCGAAGGGCTCAAGCAAGGCAAGACGCTCAGAGGTCGGGGCGATGGCGACCTGAACGTCAGGGTTGTGTGCTTCGGGCGAGATGACCTGGAGCGACGCGACACCGGACTCGAAGGGGGCCTCGGGGTTCTCGAGACCCTGTGGAGCCTCGAACTTGAACTCATTCCCGTCAGGGGTCTGCAGCTTGTCTGTCATTGGGTTGAAGGTTGTCGTGCCGGCGTAGGCCATCGCCGTGACGATTTCCGGAGAAGCGAGGAAGTTCATGGTACCAGGATTACCGTCGTTGCGGCCCTTGAAGTTGCGGTTGTAAGACGTCAGGATGGCGTTGAGCTGGCCCTTGGGGATATCGTCCTGTCGCTTCCATTGCCCAATACAGGGACCGCAGGCATTCGAAAGAATGATGCCTCCGGCGCCCTCCAGAGTCTGCAGGGTACCGTCACGCTCGAGAGTAGCACGGATTTGCTCACTACCAGGAGTGATGTAGAAGGGGGCCTTGGGTTTCAAGCCGGCCTTCTCGGCCTGTTTGACCATGCTCTCGACCTTGGTCATGTCCTCGTAGGAGCTGTTAGTACAGCTGCCAATGAGACCGGCCGACAGAACCTCGGGCCACTGTTCCTGCTGGACGGTGTCCTTGAAAGCGGAAAGAGGAGTAGCCAAGTCAGGGGTGAAGGGTCCGTTGATGTGGGGCTCCAGCTCGGACAGGTTGATCTCGATGACCTGATCATACTGAGCACCCTCATCGGCTTTGAAATCGAAGCTACCCCACTTCTTGTAGCCGTCGAGGGCACGATGTTGCGCTTCTCTACGGGTTTGCAGCAGGTAGCGTTCCGAGGCAGCGGTGTAGGGGAAGATGGAGGTTGTGGCGCCGACTTCGGCACCCATGTTGCAAATAGTGGCCATGCCGGTGGCGCTCAGAGTCTCGACGCCCTCGCCAAAGTACTCGACGATGAATCCAGTTCCGCCACGCACTGTCAGCTTTCCGGCAAGGTTGAGAATGACGTCCTTGGGGGACACCCAATCGTTCAGCTTGCCAGTCAGCTTGACACCAAGCACGCGAGGGGCCTTCAACTCCCAAGGGGCGCCAACCAAGGCCTCGACGGCATCGGCACCACCGACACCGATGGTGATGGTCGATAGGCCACCAGCGTTGGGGCTGTGACTGTCGGTTCCCAGCATCATAATACCCGGGAGAGCATAGACCTCGAGGACCGTCTGGTGGATAATGCCTGCGCCAGGGGGCCAGAAGTCCATGCCGTATTTGCGTCCAGCAGACTCGAGAAAGTCGAAGACCTCCTTGTTGACGCTGATTCCGTCGGTCAAGTCGCTCTCGGCGCCCTTGGAGCCCACGATCAAGTGGTCGCAATGGATGCTGGCCGGAATGGCGGGCTTGGCGAGGTTGCAGGACATGAACTGCAGCAGCGCCATCTGCGCCGATGCGTCCTGCATGTTGACTCGGTCCGGGTTGAGCTTGAGATTGGCAAGGCCGCGGATGTTGCGTCCATTCTCCGTATCCGTGAGGAGCGAGTCCTCGACGTTGTCCAAATGGCTGTAGAGGATCTTCTCGGCGAGGGTCAGGCGCTGCTGTCCGAGGACGTGGCGGACCTTGAGGAGGTTGTCGTGGAGCCTGCGGTAGGTATCGGGCTTGATGGACTTGGGCAAAAGTCTGCGCATCTCGGCATCCTGCTGGTCAACGTCCTGGGCGGTCGCGAAGGCCCTCCTGATGGGCAGGCACGAGGATGCGGAAAGGCATGGTCGCGTGCGAGTCAGAAGACGCTGCCGTCATGTCAATCCCTGCCTCTCTGCTGTACGCCTGATGATGGTTGAGCATTACTGACCCTTGCGGCGCCTCCAGATCGACTGGCAAGCTCAATTGGTGCCATTGTCGCTGCGCGCCTCCCTCCGAATGCTGTGTGACTCGTAGTGGCGGAGGTTTTTGGGAAATTTTTGGATTGTCACAATTGTCAATGCGGCTTGCAAATTGGCGATGTCGGATTCGACAAAAAGTCTGGGGGAGGTTCACCCAGTGTGGAGCAACCCCAAAGTGCCCCTGCGCTGCCGGCTTCGCTCCGATACTGCACCGGATACCCCTGCACAGTAGAGGAACCGGCGGAGGAGCTGTTCACCATCACCAGGCATGCAAACGGACCGGTTGCATGCTAAATTTTCCGTTTGTTATATTCCCGAGGCATGATTG